TTTTTAACCCAATTCCTATGTTCATAAACAGTGCTAGCTAAACCTAAGGAAACTGAAACTTTTGTAGACCTCTAAAATCCTTTGACTTACCCCTCACAATCCTGCTTTTTACTCAGATATCTCTAGGGAAATTTGAGCAAAAATATTTTACCAAAAGGCAACAGGCTGAAACTGACTCTGCTAAACCTTTAAAAAATTCTCAAATGRAGATCTAGCTTCATTATTACCAAACAGTGTGTGTTCATCACTTTAATTATAGGAAAAATCGATAGGGCATATAAAAGTACGTGGCATATTTTACCTGACATTTGTGCTTGTTCACTTTATTAAGCATGCCTTTCTGAGCAGAAATAACAGGCTAGAATTTACCAAAAGGCGCAGCCTAAGAGAGCAAAGATTTCTCTTGCACTCAATTTATCTCCTATATGATGTCTTTACCATTTCAAATAACATGTTTTTAGTAAAGGAACATGAAAACAAATTAAAAAGGCAATAATGGATGCATTTTCCCATTAGTGCAACCAGGCAGATTACTAATTCACAAATATTGAAACTAGCACTGATGGAGATGAATGAATTTCTCATCATTTAATAATGTAAATCACACAAACAGCAGAGACGTCCAGTAACTCCTGGCACTAGAAAAACGCCAACAGATAGACGCAATGTTGATAGAGCTTTTTATCTTGTTGATTTATTCAGCATCTTTTCTGCCTTTTACAATAGTTATTCTTTACTGCATTATCTCTTAACCTTTTATGAATTTTAAATATCTACTTTCTTCTAAAGAAGACAGGTGTCTGGAATTATGGTAGCCAAATTTTGCAAGTTAATAATTTTATTTTTTTATGAAGTGTATTTTGATCAGCAACACATTGGGGAGACAACAGCTTTTTTAAATGTGTAATAAACATGACTAGAAGCATTTTTCAAAAACTATTGTACAAAAAAGCTGGCAMCATCACTTTATCACATGAAAAAATGGGGGAAACGCAAACCTATTTTCAAAGAAAAAAATATCCAATGGATATCCTTATATCTAGAACTTATTGTCAGATAAAATGTACTACTTAAGACATAGTTTAAATGGCTCTATAATTCCAAACTTCTACCATGAAGCTTCATTAAAGTATATAAATTAGTACTACTGTCAGAAATGGCATTAAGTATTCAATAAGAGTAGACTTAATGCAATTAATAGCAATTAAAATTATACTTTTATGATGTCAGCCACCAGCATCGTAAAGACATAATTGCCTGTAAGGACTTTTGTACCATATTTATCCTCTAAAACTGTCCAATTTATATGAAAAATGCCAAAAACATATCCCATATGGGTACCATTATCTTCTCGGATTTTTAGAAGTAATCTGTCTTATCCAGCATGTGCACATTAGGCTAATTTGCTTTAATTAGTTTTTTTCTCATTTTGTTAATAGGCATGTTGATGTTAAGTTTTTATTTCGGAGGTACAGATGCTAACTTCACTCATTATGTCCCTATTAAGGGGTCAGTATACTTTGTGATAAGCTGGACTTATCCACTTATAGCATCACTCTCCAAAATATCATATGATATAGTGTATCGAACATTAAAAACCATATTGCTGTTATACTAATAGTGAGCAACTTGAATTCTAGTTAATTAATTACTAGTTAAATATGAAAGAACAGTTTCACTGTTTCTGCTGTGGCAAGGCACTTCTGTATGGACATAATAAATTAGATAAACTAATGAACTGATTTCAGAAACATAGTCATTTGTGACTCCTCAAAGCATTCATAAGAATTACCATGAATGCATGCCCGGGTTTTGCATTTTAAGCCAGGAGGCATCCAAAATAAGAAACTCTTTTATTTCCTGGATTCAATCATAGTCCATACCTCAAACCTCAAAGACATTTCATAAAAGTTAATATATTAAAATAATTCTATTAATTATTATTGGTTATCTCATCTGTAAAATTTTCTAATGCCAAACTGCTATAAAGAAAAAATAATTATGTATATGCAAAGAGCAAAACATATAATTAAAATTTTTCCCTATTAGTTTTCTGAGGACAGAAATTTTTTATGCAAGTAATTTTAAAGGTTGAACAGAGTYTTCTGATGAAACTTAGAAGACTTAGGGAAGATATTAAGGGTGGGTATATTTTTTCCTCACTGGATGAATAAGTTTAGCTCCAAATTTGTATGTATACCTTTATATCTGAAAGACATTTCTTGTATTCATATACTAATTTTTCTCAGTTTATTTTAAATGTCTTTCTCTATTTGTGTTCTCATCATGAAACCAACTATAAAAACTATATAATCTTATAACATTGCAATAAAGTCATAGGATTGATTTAAAATCGGAAAACCTTATATGCTTTGAAATGCAATGTTTTACAACAAGCAATAAAACAATTATGTAGTTAGTTCAGGTCAGTATCTTTAAGGAAATTGCACAAGAGTCCCAAGTGAGTAGGGGTAGTTAAGGAAATAAGAGTTAAATCATTCAGATATCTTCAAATAGGAGAGACAATATAGTTTAAATACATAATTATTTTAGGTAAGTCATGTTATATATTTTTAATTTTATTTCCAACATAGAAATATATCTGTCTGTTAAAAGGCATACTCTCTGGATAGTATTCAAAAGAGTTGAGTAGCTTGTTGAAACACTGTTGTTTTGCTTTGTTGTGCCTTGGGTTTTAGTAAGCTCAATTTGTACCCTATAAGGCTTGAATTGTTTTCTTCAGGCAGCCAATAGTTGTATTGATAAGACCCATAAATTGACCATTTTCGTGTAACTAAGTGAAATAATTAAGAAATCAAAATTGAAAGAAGTAAAAACTCAATTGCATAATTCATCCTTTTTAACTATTAGTCTCCAAGATTAAAGCAGCTTTCACAAGCAAGAATGTTTAGCTAATGAAAAAAACAGACTAAATAACAGAAAGTAGAATAAATTAGGATGTAATAGTCCTTCACAGCCTATCAAGTAAGCTTTTCAGATACAATTTGAATGTAACAAGTTCTTCTCTATTCCTTTGTCTCAGTTGTATTATAAAACATAGTGATTACTATGCCCTGGAATTGAATTACTTTTGTTTACATTTAGGTTCTTATTTCTAAGAAGAACACAAGGAATTACACGTCAGCCTTTGTCCCATTTCTACAGTGAACGTACACTCTAAGTCAATTGTTCAATAACAATAGAACGAGTGCTGGAAAGAGAGAATGTGGGAAAAAAAATGTATACGTGAAAGCAACTTGGTGACAAAAATGGAGGCACAATATTTTGCAAATTGGAATTATCAATATTTGTAAATTGGAATCTGTGTGTATTCTAAAAAGCATTTATATGGAAGATGGCTGTTTAGGTATATGATTTTCCATTGAACTACTATAAACAATTATCCTAAGCTTAACCAAAAATGTAATCGAACTCTGAAACAATAATCTGTGTTTGTGTGTGGAGAAAGTGGGGGGTACTCTTTTTTGTTCTCTTTTCTTGAGCACTTGCTATAGATTAGTCTTTGTGTTCAGTATTTATACCCATTTACAATCCTATGAGATAAATGTCACAGTTATGTCCTCTTTATAGATAACAAAATAGTTCATGTATTTTGAGATTCAAACTTGGGTCATTTATTTATTTTCTCAGACTTATAGGCATTTGCTGCCATCTCTTCTCATGGGTTCCAGATGTTCTCTCAGTGAACTAAGATTTGGTTCCCACCATGACATCTCACTTAGGCTGCCTTTGCTCTCTTAAAGAGCCCCAGACCCTAAAATGGACTCCCATCTTCCTCACACAAGTGCAATAACCCAGAGCAGCTGGTTGCATCTGGGAATCAAGAGGAAAGCCTTGTGTTAGTGGTTATGGTTGCTATTGATTGTGCATCTACAGTATTCCTGGGAAACCAGGGACACTATGGTAAAAACAGAATTTCTGCCTTGAAACTTACCTTTTCCCATGGTTAGAAAGACAAGCATAAAAACAAATAAGACAATGCTCAGAACACTGACAGTGCTCAGAAAATAAAAGGATGACGTAAACAGTGGGCACAGGGAGAGCAGTAGGAGAAGCAATCAGCTTTGGCAAGTAGAGTTAGGGAAAACTTCCCAAGCAGATAGAGGGCTTTTGACCTGAGATGGAATGATGGAGAACCATTCCGAGACCTGGAAGGAGCAGTGTAAAAGCTGAAAACATCCAGCACACAGACTCTGGGAAGCCAGAGTCTAGCAATTGAAGAAAAAAAAGAAAGAAAGAAATCCAGGAGAGTGAAAGAGAAGAAGTGGAGGAAACCAAGTCTAGGAAGCAGCAGCTGTGGAGCATTCTTAGGGAAGAGGTGCAGGCTTGACCAGATTCAGTGTTTCCCCATCATTCTGTCTGCTGAGTGGAGAACGTATCACAGAGCATGGCTCAGAAAGGCATGAAAATGTGAAGCTGAGAAATAACTCTGATTTGCTTCAAGGTATTCTAGCAGCATGTATGTGCTTGGGTGTGTTTTGAAGAATAAAGAGAAATCAATGGGACTTAATGCACTGGACATGAGATCAAGGGTAACCACTATGTTTGTGGTTTGAGGAACTGGGTTTGTGGTGGTGGTATGAACTAGGAAGAAGATTCTCTCTGGGAAGTGGCTGTTTGGACTGGCTCTTGAAGAGTGAATTATGATAGGGTAACACACAATCTGTAGATGACTGGTAGTCCACCAACTTGTCTTGGTAACCAGAGAAGTTTTGATACAAAGAAGTCATCACTGCATGGAATTCTAGCCATTGCAGTAGTGAAGTAAAAACTGTAGGGTAGGCTATAGGATTGGGTTTTATATAGATTTTGGAGAGAATGATGTTAGAGATGTCATGATTACTATGTGCATCAACCCTACCTACTTTTCAGATTTTTCACTGAATCTACTTCAAACATCATGAATTGTCTAATGTCTGTAGTTGATTTTGGTTTTGGTGGGGTTTTTTTGTTTTGTTTTTGTTTTTGTTTTTCACAAAGAATGTAGAAGCTCCAAATTCACTTTGAGGGGCAAAACTATAGCCTCCCAAAAGTGACAAGATCCACTTGCTGTATGCAGCTCTTAGGTTGAGATACAAGTCTAGTTGATTACTAAATAGCTGACCTTTATTGGTGTCTAGGAAAGCAAAGGTGACAATGGCCATTTCATATTGGTGGGTTATTTTTACAAGTCAGTCTGAGGCTGGCTATGCACATGCGATGCCTTTCAATGGAGAAGTAAGCACAGACCACCTAAACAGGTAAGAGGATATATGTGTACATGTGCTTGTTTGGTGGTCCTAAAGGGATGTCAAGAGGAGGGCTCATATGAAATATCATGAGATCATTCTTGGCCTGATATTCTCCCAGTGGGGATACAGATGCCGAGGACTCTCTCTTAAAGAATTATTCCATTTCTTGAAAGGCTCTATCAAAACACCAGGCAGGAAAGAAATAGTACTGAGGCATGTTTCCCAAAAGCATGATGTTAGGGTAAGGTCAGTGACTGACGGATGAAGTGTCTCACTGAGATAATTCACAGCCTGAGGACTCATTGATGGATACTTTAGTACTGACCCTGGTGGAATGTGACATAATGTGTCATTGGCTATGTATCCCCCAGTTTGCTTATCTACAAAATGAAGACAGTAATGCTCACCTACTCCATAGGAGTCTAATTGTAAGACTAATTCTTTAAAAGAACTGAGTTATTTTCAAACACATGCACAAAAAATAAACTACTTTTATTGCTGCAAGAACAGGACTTGTAAACTTGTTTAAACAATTATATTAATTTACTCTACTTAGTCTTAATTGAAAAGTTATGTATGGTTTCACAWTCTCATCAGGGGCAGAAGATTCTTATTGATTCTTATAGTTAAAGGAATGATAGGCAAAATAAAAGACAACTGGTTTCTATGACAGTTCTTTATGCAGTATTGCTCTTTGCTACTAAAATTCTTTTGATCACTGAAGAGCTGTGTGATATATAATGAGTTTCTATTCTCATGAACACCTGATGAGAATCATTGTCACTTCCAAATTTATGGCCCTTTTTAAAATCATGCACAGAATGCAAAAGTTTTTATTAGCTGATGATTGCCTACTGACCCATGTGTTAATTGAGAGTGATTGTGCTCCTCTGGTAATGACTTTCCCAACCAAAAAGGGATCATGCTCAGAGTAGTATTTAGATGAACATCATCTGCAGAGGCCAATGTCGAAGAAAATGAAAGAATAATGAACAAAAAGCTCAAAAGGCTGAGCAATTAGGCTTTGTTCTCTCCTGTCCCTAAATCCATCATGGACTCCAAGCTGTCTTACAAAGAGAAACATTGTTTCTCTAGACCCTAACCAGGAATCAAGACCAAACAGAACCTAAATAGCTGAACTGGATAACCTCTCTCCAATTTATGGTGTATAATTAACTGCCTACCTCCCTAATAAGTAATTCCTCAATTGCCCAGTTTCTGGGAGACTACTTAAGCCAGACCTGTCAACACAATCCCACCCCGGATGTTGAGATCAATTCCCCCATATGACCTCCCCAGAATAGCTCAGAATTCGCCAGGCACTCAATCATCATTAACCACTCGGGTTCGAACTGCTGCCCTGGCTCCAAAAACCCTGTTTGTCTTCTTTACTGTGAAACGGCTGCAGCCCTCCCGAGGTATCTTGATGCAGCCTAACTACTACTTTGGATGTAGACTTTTTATCAGGTTGCTCTGCTTAGATCTACCTCTGTGAGTTTGGGCAAGATAATAAACTCCTTTGAACTTCAGTGGTTCCTCCCCCACCCCCAATGTAAAATGGTCATAATAAAACATCATTCACCTCTGGAAGGATTTGAAACATTACACATAAAGCAGCTAGCAGAGCAATTTGGCTCATGGTTAAGTGCTAGTGGCTCTTCCAGTTTCTATGGACATGGTTTTGATTTCCTGAGTCCTTCCCTTTAATCCCAGATTTTGAGCCCTATAACAATTGCCAGATTTTCCTGGCACCAACAATCTTGTCTCTCCTCCTCCTGTTACAGGATATGCTGGATTTCATTTACCATTTCATATTTCTCTTCTACAATAAAGAGACTTTGTGAACTTGGGGGGTGAGCTTGAAAAGAAAAAAAAAGATCAAGACTCAAAGACTAGATGGGTGCTCCTAGGTGTGTCAAGTTATCCTAGAGTGTCCAAGGCATAGACAGAGCAAAGTTACACAGTAGGCAAGCTCCAGGATCATCCAGAAGAAGTGTCTGTTGTGATTAATCTGCACCCTCCATTTCTTAGACATTTCAGGAGAACTTGCTTCACCATTGACTTTTAGGTGACTGACTGTGGATGAGAAAGAATGTTACACATATACAAAACTTGTGAAGCAAGTACTTCTCTAGAACAGAGTTAGCATGGTAACATTCCTGCAGTAATCAGAGTTTGTCTTATTCATATGTCAAAGTGAATATGTAGCATGTCAGATACCAAATATCATACCATACATCAATAGTCAAATAAAACCTCTGGAATTCTTTAGTAGTAAAAGAGATACAATCTTCTTCAAAATTACAAGTCCAGATCAGAAAAAAAGTTAGATGGATGTTTTGCTATTATGGACATGGTAATGGTAACAGAACAATTTTTTGTTCAAGACAGGATCGAAGGAAGAATTCATTTTCCACCTTAAATCGGCTCCCCCAATTTTGATATAAATTCATTGTAGAAAACAGCAGCAGTTCATTAACTCCTGGCAACTTTATGCTTATTAAGTATTTAATGAGTTTAACCTTTATGTTAAATATAAAATAATAATGCCTTCCAAACCTGCACAAACTTCAGGAATTTTAATTTGGTCAAAATTTAGTCTGCATTCTAGCTTTGGATCGTCCACCTCCCATCAACTGATTTTATGGTGTCTCTTGCACTGCAGTCCATTAGATGGGATTATTTCATTTCCAAAGACTGTTTTTACATGGGCTATGTAGCTGTTCAGTGAAATATAATCCAACTCGGTCCCTTCTGCATCCAATAAAATCGTCAGTCTGTGTTGGGGGAGCAATCATTGAAATGATGAAATAGCAGTAGTGCTGAAAATAAGCAATGGAAAATTCTGCAAAAGCTAAAATTATACCACAGGGACCTCCTTGATCACCATAGCCCTTCTCTGGCGGAGAAGCGGTTCTCCCTGAGAATTGAGAACCTGTCCTTTGAAAGGAAACCATTCTCGGGTGGTCAAATCGCCTTCCAGGGGAGCACTTTCTGTGACTCTTTCCAATATTTATAAGGTGGTGTCCACTTAGCCCTTTCATGATCTCCAGGATTTTCTCTTGCTTTGAGGTGATAGGCAATCAGAGATATTTGGTTCAATGGATGAATTGTCATGAACGTGGGGCACACACATGGTCACAGGTCACCCTTAAAATCTTTTAATCTGTACAAGAATAGGTATTAGAATAAATACAGAAAAACAATATATTTTAAAAGTCTAAAATATACCTTGCTTCATCTAAGAAAATGGGTGTCTATGGCCAGTCTGGGAGGAGTGGAAGGTTATTGTTTGCTGAATTAGAAAAAAGGCATAACAGAAAATCAGTGATAAATTCGATTTTGTTCAAGCTCCCTGTTAAACCCAAAAGACCATTATCTTGAGTTGATTAGGGAGAACAGGTTGAGGGGTTACTGACTATATAATAAGGGAGCCTAAAATAATAATTTTGAACATGAGAGTTGAAAACAAGAAAAATACCAGGAATGTTTTGAAGAATTAAATCAAAGTGGGCTGAGGGCTGACCAAACCTGAAGAAAGCAGTTTTCTTTTTCTTTTCTTTTTCAAAAAATAAAAAATAAATCATGCAATATAGAACAAACCGTAAAAATCTTATTTGTTCTAAAGCTTCAGATCTACCACCACTACCACCCACCAGGGTGGTGGATGTTTAAACCCCTGTCTAAAATGTCTCACTTTCATCCTGTTACATAACCTGCTCTTGGTCACCAGTTTAGCATTCGGTAGTTCAAATGTAAAATATTTTCCCTAGCTTAATGGGTCTTGGTTTTTAAATATAAAAAGAAAAGAAAAACTACAAAATTGGCTATACCTCCAAGAAAGAAAATAACACAGCAAGTATGGGTGGTCTTCTGAAACTCCCATTTGTCTTGGCATAAAAAGAAGTGCTCTCTGTTCCCTACTTCTTTCTGCACAAGTATAGAAGTTGAATGTGAATGAATTTCTCTGAGCTTCAGTTTCTCTGTCTATTAAATGGAGCCTGACTCAGCTTCAATGTGGTATATCACACTGAGTTCCTGTTCAGTCACTAACCAAACAAGATAGAAAACCAAAACTTCCTTGTGAAGGTTGTTCCCTTTAGCAGCTATAATGACGCTTTCAAACCAGTATTGTACCACTTAGTAAATTATACCTTCCATACACAACTATGTTTGCTACTTGTTTATTCTGAAAAAAAAAAATACAATCATCATGGCAAATACCTGAGGAACTACCTGTGCATTTAGAGAATTGAGTTGTATGTCTCTAAAGTGCATTGAGTTCCTTAAAAGAAAGTTGCCATATATTTATACTTGATAAAAGTTTAGAAAGATAAGCAACATGTAAAAAGAGAAAAACAGACTTTTTAAAGACTCTTTCAGTGAATTTTATTCTATATGCAAGACTTAAAGTATTTCTAAAAGGACAAAAAAAAAAAAGAAAAGAAAAAGAAATTAGACCAAGCTGATTGACTTACCAATTGCAGCTATAAATTCTATAGATCACTCAGGATAGGAAGCTGCATTATATTTACAATACTATAAAATTCACATACAAATAAAGAAGCTTTCTGAAAAGGATTTAAATGCCATTAATGTTTTCCAAAATACCAATCAAACTTGTTGTCTTGCCTGTCTTTGTTTTTGACTTATCAAGGAGAAAAGTTTATCACCTTCCCTTTTATATTAGAAGAAATATATAAATGTCTCAGAAAGCAATCTCAACTCACTTATATTAGATGTCTGCTAGAAATAAACTCCTTTAAAATAGAGCAGGTCCCTCCTTCCCCCCAAGAGACAAAGCATGTTTACTTTACCTTATTTATCCGCATTTCACTAGCCACTGAA